TTATTTATTTATTTAATTTGTCCCCGCCCATCTCCCCACAATGGGGGACTCTGGGCGGCTTATAACACACACTTATAATCTCACATTTAGCAACCATAGTCCAATCACATTGGTTGTCCTTATGGTGCCTCTCTGTCAGTGTAACCTGCCATAAGATCCTCTGAATGGTGGGTAGGTTATAAATATTATGAATGAATTAATACATAAATATTGGTTAAAAAGTTAGTTCAGAGTAGAGATGTATTTAAAAATACAACAGGCAATGTCCTATTTAGCCATGATGAGCAGTCTGATTTTGTCTCCGCATCTGTTGGCTCTTCTTCAGTTACATCCAGTGAAGAACTGGATCAGTTAGAACCCCAAGAGTACTGGCTTATAGAGAGAAGCAAGGCCAGATCAATGAATCATGCAGAGTTGAATCAATCAGCTCTCTTTGTGAGTTGATACTTTAGCCTTATATGTACCCTTAATTGTCTAATCTATTTGCAGCACATTATGTGTATATTATTGAATTAGTCACCTTTACTTTACCTTTTAATCTAAGATGTGTCTACAAAATATTGTATTACAAGTTCTAAAGTGGTTTCACCGTTTATTGACTTTATAATCTAGGAGGCACTGTAGACCTATTTGACAATGAATGTAAGCCTCGCATAATTTTTTTCCCACCAATAGTTACAGCGTGTTTCAACGGTTAACTAGAAAGAGATTGGGGGGAAAATACGATGCCAGTTATCATGCCTGCTTATTGTAATTTAAGCAGTGCAGTGGGAGCATGTGGAGAGAATGTGGTTTTTTGAACAGACGTTTCAATAAGGTCTTTTTTTTTCCTTCCCTGTCCTTCTCTTCTCCTTCTCCCTCCCCTTTTTCCAAGCTTCTATGCAGATTTTGGCCCACTCAATCTGGCAATGATTTACAGATACTGTTGCAAGCTAAATAAAAAATTAAAGGTAAAATCTAATAGTTCGGTCATTCTGAGTTTCTTTATAAAATGTTAGAAGGAGTGAACATTCTTTTCTGTTTGTCCAGTATGCACCTTTTAATTATTTCATACCCACCTCCCAGATGAAGTAATAAACTCTTAAGATTTATTTTGCTACTCATGTTGTTACCCTAGTGAAGGAGAATGTGTTTGCCAGAAGGGTGGGAAAATAAGTGTGATAAGTTTTACTTTTTTTATTTCAGAGTATTCATAATTGGGAATTCATAATGTGGCTAATGATTAAAGGTAGAAACACAAACATACAAAACTTAGTCCTAGTAATATCAGGAGCAGAAGAAACTTGAACTGTGGGATTGATGTGCCCTCCCTTCCCTGGAATGCATTGTACTGGTTACTTAACAATGTCTGGCCTTTAGTTACAGAAGCATATTTCTTTAATATGTATTTTTTTAACAGCTTATCCATATTCATGGTTCTTCATGTTCCTGAAAATGGTAGTACTGTCACACTTTAGTCAACTTATTATATAAAGCATAATACTGAAAATACAGTCCCAATATTCTTTGGGGATGTGCTTTAATGTATGAATAAATAGCAGCAACAATATCTGCTTAGTTTTCATGATTTCTTTGAAAGTGAAATAATTTTTAGTTACTGTGCTTGTTTTTATCAAATGTGTCATGATACAAATAAATAGCTTGTGATTTATCTCTTTTTTTTTCATTGTAAGTAATCACATGTAACAGCTGACTGAGCTATATGGTAACTAGCCAGTTATTTTCAGGCAAGTATAAAAGCAGTATCCAGTAGTGTCAGTCATAGTTGACACTATCATGATATGTGGCATTGTGAAAACCATTGGAACTTCTAAAATGCAGTAGTATCAACAAAACACAATTCAAATGATTTTCCAGATGTTTCATGCAGCTTCCAATTACTTAGTATTAATCTGTCTAATATTAAAGAAAATATAAAAGCCTATTTGGCAGATGTCTGTGTAATAAAGTATTCAGCTTTTGAAATTCTATTGAAATATGAAACTCAAAATCTTACTCAACACATAGCTATACTCTTGAGATTAAACACTTTGCAGATGATGAGTTGTCAGTCTGGAATTTAAAATATTATGTGGCGGCCTAATTCTTGAATTATATTATTCAAATTACTCTGCAAAACTCCATTTCATGGTAATTATGCTTTCAGTGATTTAGTGTCCTTAAGAGCTGGATGTTTTGTAGATACATGTCTTCAGGGATATGGACACTGTATGTTCTAGGTTATGTTGCACCCTTTCTGCTGTAAACGAATAATGATTTCTCACAGGCAGGAAAAGAATTATACATCTTAAACCACTGTGTAAATTAATTGGATTTTTTAAACCAGCAAAGCTGAGAAACATTGTTCTATAATAACTTCATTCTATAATTGAATTGATCAAAAATATTGAATGAGCCAATCAGTCAAGCATGTTGGAACCTTCTAAATTATTTCATTAAACTACGTATTAGCTTAAAACGGTGCTTCTTAAACTTTTTGCTCTCAGGACCCCTTCCCACTTTTAAAAATTATGGATGACCCCAAAAGAACTGTTGTTTGTATGGATTGTATTTATTGATATTTACCATATTAATAATTAAAATTGATGTATTTGTAAAATGTTTATTTATTGAATCATGTAAAAACAACAATATTAAATCCATTAGATATTAACATAAATAAAATATTTTTCGTGGAAAAATGCTATTTTTTAAAACAAATAAATAATAATGAGAAGAGTTACATTGTTTAAAATGTTTGCAAATATCTTTAATATCTGGCAAATAATTTTGATTTTGCAGACCTCTGAGAGGGTCTGGGGGGGGCTTCCAGGGGGCCTCAGACCACACTTTAAGAAACACTGTCTTAAAATATTAATTCTAATGTTAATTTTTCTCTTGTTATCTCTTTGTTATGTATAAGAGTCCAAATGCCATGTTCTTTTTTTATAGTAGATGTTGTCATGGAACTGCCACTGTGTTACTTCTTAAATGCAGTATCTCTGCATGTTATCTGATGTATTTGGACTATTTAAGTTCATTAATTAATACGTTTAAAATCCAAGGAGTCCAATTATAACTTTGTTCATTTCTTGATGCAGTCCTTTACCATGTTAAGGAAGAAGATTGTTCATTATTGTGGTTTGGATCAGAAAAAGCAAGCCAATGCAGCTTTCCTCATAGGGTCTTACACAGTAAGTATTTTAACATCTAAATTGGCAAGGCTCACAAACTTGACTTTTATTCAGCGTTGGAGTTGGAGATAGGTTGCAGGTTATCTGCTTTTATATGCAGTGTATAAGTAGAAACATATTCTTTTGTGTTTGAAAGGTCAAAGAGTTATACTCCTATGTTCATTTTCTTTCATCAAAAGGCTTCTGTATACATTCTCTAGATTTTCAAAGTTACAGAAATTATTTAAATAAAACAGAATTGAAAAACAGAAGATTTTGAAATGGCAGACACAGAGGTGACTCAATCTGAGTGGCAATAAAGCGGGGGAGAGCAAAATGCTTGTTTGAAAGAAAGGGGGGGTTAGAAACATATTCCCAAACCGGGGGGGGGGGGGGAGAAAAGCCTGGTGCTAGTGAGCATATCAGGGGCTATAAAGAGTGGGAGAGAGCAATCCCAGTTTGGTTTCATGGCCCACTATCCCATGACATTCACTGTTTAAAAAAAGAAATAA